TTTTATGGCAGACAGGAGCCTCTATGGTACAGCCGCTGAGAAATACGTCTTATATATCGATTTTCAAAAGGGGTTTAAATCATGCTTCGCTGTGATAAACAAACTTCCACAGCGGATTTTCAGAGAAAAAGTCACACTATCGTCTGTGTTTCTTCGTGTTTAAATTGAAGAATATATTACTTGTCCATAAAATAAGTTCTAACGTCACCCTTGATATTAATTTGAATCATTTATTTGCTTGTCAGAAAACTTCCGAACCAATGCTTTACCTGTTTTACTTTTAATTAGGAAAGCTCTGACTAGAAAAAAAGAGTTTCTCTACGGTGTATTAGAGAAGAACGATCATTTTGACTTTCTCTCTCCCCTCGATTTCCTATGAAATGAAAAGAGTGCATGTGGAATAATAATTTCATAACGTCAGTTCTACGTGATTATCTCATACCAGAAAGACAAGCCAAAAAAAGAATTCTAAGCATAGCTATTTGACGTAACTACCTGCTTTTTATTCTCTTTCTCCTCAAAGAACAGACGGATGACGATTAAGCGATTAACAGAAGCTTTATCGAAACACTAGTTATGTAATAGTAAGTATAATACCAAGTGCTATCTAAAACACTATAGTGAATCCTATAGTATCATCTTAATTTAGTCGAACGCTTCGAATTTTATTTTTTATGGCAGACAGGAGCCTCTATGGTACAGCCGCTGAGAAATACGTCTTATATATCGATTTTCAAAAGGGGTTTAAATCATGCTTCGCTGTGATAAACAAACATCCACAGCGGATTTTCAGAGAAAAAGTCAATCGTATGGTTTATCTAATTTAACACTCGCTCGTTTCTTAAAAATATTTTCCAGTGCACTTATTCCATTAATGATCGGTATATTTACCATCGTTCAGACACTCCAACAGCAAACGATTGCTGATGGAACACGATCAAAAGATTTGGAAATAGCAACATTTCAACGTCAACAAGACATCGATATGGCCGAGAATTTGCAAAATGAAACAATTATAATAAATTATATCAAAGAAATATGCCAATTATTAATTGAAAATAAAAACGATACAAACAACATAATTGCCACTGTTATACGTGCGAATACTTTAATCGTCTTACGCCGATTAGATCCTAAACGCAAACGATTGATCATACAGTTTTTGTATGAAGCGAAACTAATTACTAAAGATAATAATCCAGTTGATTTGAGTGATGCCGAACTAAATAATGTTGATTTTACTAATTCAATATTTAATTCGATTAAACTAACTGGCGTTTATTTGATAAATTCCACGTTTGTCAATACACAATTGACAAATTCAGATTTGAGTTCATCATATTTAAAACAAGCAAATTTTCAATATGCAAAAATAACTGATTGTAACTTTAACTATACTCATTTGCAACAAGCACAATTCTCTCAATCTAACATCGCCTATGGAAGTTTTTACCAATCAAACTTGACTCTGGCAAATTTTAGTTCATGTGAAATATTCAACAGTACTTTCATTTCTGCTGACTTGAATAGTTCAATTTTTTTATCCTGTGGTATAGATAAAGTTGATTTCAGTTCTGCTCAATTATTATATACACGAGCGTTAATGAGCAATATTCGCAGTATAAAAATCGATGGATCAACATTATTTCAATCAACAATTTTTACACAATGCGAATTATTTGACATTGATTTTTCCAAAGCCCATTTCCATGAAACCCATTTTATACAATCCAAAATGAAACTTATCAACTTTTCATATGTAATCAACGCGCCTAATTTATCGTTCAAGAAATGTCACTTAACTAGATGTAAAATCCATCATGCTACGTTAAGTGACGCAGATTTTAGTGACTCATACATGAGTGATGTGGATTTCAGATATGCAAATTTATCTGGGTCTAATTTTGGCTATGCGGTTATCGATTCTGAAGTCGATTTACGTTACGCTACATTAACATTTACAGACTTTACTAATACCAGTATATCTAACTTTGCATATTTCCAATATGCAAATTTAAATGGTTCAAATATTAAAGATAATCAGCTAATTCATCTGCTTTACAAACATCAGTTGCGTTTACCAAATGGAAGAATTTATAATTATTTACTGAATGGTGATGCAGAAAATAATGGTCTCTGTTCATATGATAATACAACAATAGTGTCGATATTTGGCTGGAAATTATTAACAGGCTCGATCACAGCTATTCGATACAGTGCAACAAACGGAATGTTCACTCCAGTGCAAGATACAGACAATAACTGCTATTTCTGGGCAATAAACTCACAAGAGGCTCAAATGATGCAAATAGTTGATTTAGAAAATTATGATACGCACATTTATAATCAACATATTCAATTGCATATGGAAGTTTTGATCGGACGAGCAAATAATGAGGACGACAAGGTGGTGGTCATCGATATCATGCTATCAAATGGAACTGAATATATCCAAAATTTAACAATATGTAACTAAGTTTCTCTTGTTTAGGCTGCTACTAAAGTGTAAAGATCTCTTCTAGAGGCACGGTTTCTCTTGTTTAGGCTGCTACTAAAGTGTAAAGATCTCTTCTAGAGGCACGGTTGTAGAAAGACTACCCCGTTACGGGTACCGTTACCGGTATAGAGTGCTGCCAATGGCAGTTTCATTAGCCTGATATCCACGCTGCAGTTGACAAGCTTTTGACAAGATCACTTATCTCGTTACTACTATCGGCGCCAGAAGTCAGTATACTCGAATGCTTTTGAATAACTTTCGATAGGAACAAGTTAGAGTCCTATGGTTTTCAGTGTTTGATAGCCAAGACCCAGGAGCATATT